AATACTAGTCTTGACACAAGTCCTTGTTCAAGAATCTGTGAGCTAAGAGTGTCCATCTTCCCTGCTATTTCTGTTCTTCCAGGCTGTTGTCAAGTTCATAATTATCATTGCATATCATAAGTCATAACATTAATTAATTGTTTGTTTTTTAAAATAAAATAAAATAACACACTTGATAAAACAGTAACATGTAAAATCAATACCTTCTTTTAGCTGGAAACCTCCACTAAAGTATTGCAGTAAGTTGATTCCAAGCATAGCTTGGTAAAAAAATAACTTGCTTCTTCCAGAGCTGCAGATCTGAGCATGCGCGACCACACCCAAATTTTGGAGCACATGGCAAGCTTCTTTAATTAACAAAATGGCGGCATGTAGCTAAGATGGCTCGATCCAGCAGTCACAGTATCACCTTTTCCTTACTTGAAGAATGATCTGATGGGACATGGACCTGCGCATAGACTTTTGGAGTAGATTGGTGTAAGAATTATCCTTGTAGCACCAACTGATACTGAGATACACACCGACAACTGGATTGACAGGACTTGATGAAGAAGATGATGAAAAAAGGTGGCTGAACAAAATGGCCCGTTCGCCGATTTTTGACTTTTCGCTTAGACAAGGTCTAGAGGCATGCTAGTTGTACCATTGGAGTCCTCTGGTCAAGATAAGGTCCTCTATAAAGTCTGGTAAGCATAGGAGCTCGTTTTCCCGGTATAGCAAGCAGTGGCGGATCTATGGGGAGGCCAGGGGGGCAATGCCCCCCCAAAAATTTTCTGGAGTAATATAAACTTTGGTTTATCTGTGTAAACTGTGAAGCAGCTGCAGTACTGGACTATGTAAACTATCTTTAAACCACAAAGGGGCTCATTTTAGCAGGCTTAGTCTTCATAATTTTTACTTCCCCAAAAGTTTTGCACAAGCTTAGTTGACCACACCCCCTAATTACCCCTCCCATCTCACAATTGCCCCCCAAAAAATTAAATCCTAGATCCGCCCTTGATAGCAAGGCTGCAAAAGTCATGGCAGCCATTTTGTTTGAGGGTGAATCCTATAGTCGGTTCAAGTTGAGTTGCCCAAGTACCACCCCTTATAACTTTTTAATCACTAATGCTAGCAACCTGAAATTTAGTATACTTGCAAAACGGGTTCTTCCGAAAATCTGTACCAATTTTTGAGTCTCTAGGTACTCTGGAAGGTTCTGAATGGGTTCTTCCGCTCTAGTTCAAAGGGAGCCGCCATGATGAATCATTACGTGTAGGCTACATCACACTCGTGAATATCATTTGCATTTCATTACTATTAATGTTTTTTTATTTATAAAATAAAAGCAAACAGATAAGGTCCTCTAGAGAAGCTGGTATTCAACTAGCAGACCTTGCTACTGGAAACATACTGCTACATCTGTCTACAGCCTTCTTGGTTCTAGTTATTCTTCATCATCCTTAATCTAGGTTGATATCTTCCGTATCCGAGGTCTTTGTCAACTTTA